TCTACATTTCTCGGTGGGAGTTTAGTATATTTCCTGAGAGGATTTTAATAATTTTCAACGAAACTGTCTGGAAACGTAACATTTAACGCTTCTCTATGAAATAAGAATGTAATCGTAAGCCGGTTAATGTTTTCTTGCGAAAATTACGGAGACCATTCGTGTCTTCTAGACTAAAGAATTAAATGAATGCTCCTGATTTAAACGAGATTATTGAAATTGTTCAACTTTTGTTTAACTTTTAATCGAGTTTCTTAGATTAAAGAAATAAAAGTTCTTCTCTTTACAGAAAGAATTCACTATTGTCATTTCTGCATCGGAGAATTTACAGAATTTTTAATCTATATTCATGAATTTCCTGAACAAATATATAGAGATAGGCAAATGATCGTAAATATAGATAATTATTCAGGAATATTTTTTAGTTTTTCATATGAAAAACTAAATTTAGATTTTGTTTTTTAATGATTAAACCTCATTGATTTGATCGTTTGCGATGCTATTTCAAAAATTACATCCCTGATGAATGTCGGGTGAAGGAGGAAAAAGTCTTAATCTTTTGTAGACGAGCGGTGAGAAAAGCAACACTCGCATTCATTCGTCCGAGAAACGAATTTTGTTATCTTCTCTTCCATCGGGAAAACGTCACGTTATCAATTTTTTGGCACGTTAGTATGTCTGTACGTCAGATCGGGGATTAAATAAAGATTCGTTTATGCCATGATCGCGTTTATTAATATTTTATCGTGTATTTCTCTTTCTTTTTCTTATTTTATTCGCGAAATTTATACCCTTTTTTTTTGATGGATGACGAGATAAAGATGTTTTCCGTTTTTTTCGGATGTCAAAATGAATTGCCATCGTTTAAAGTCACTCGGCCGTGTTTTATCCGATCGATCCAAATCCAGAATTTGGTCTTTAAATCTTTAAAAAGAAATAATAAATTTGAAGGCAAACGAAACTATTGAAATGTTTAACGTTCGTAAAGCTCGTGTGTTTTCGTACGTTTGTTTGTCTGTTGGTCAAATATCTTTGTGAACTAAAAACAATAAAAAGTATAGCGTCGAAAGCGAGCAATATTCTTTGTTCTGTGTCTGTTCGTATGTCTATCTGTAAGCTTTCTCAATAACTCGTGAATGATTATACATTCCACATTCGAAAGTAAAGTATTTTTATTCGATATTTTCTGTAGAAAAGAAAAAAGATTAAAAAAATAATGTGATAAGTAATCAAAGATTTCTTTTTATAAAAATGCTTTTACAACATAAAAATAATGTTGTTCAATTTAATATGATGAGAAATAAACTACCAGAAGATTAGATTTGCAGTTATAAACAAAAAAAAAAAAAAAACACAGCAATTTCCTTGCATACCTCATCAATATTTTCACTGTAACGTATAACACTGTTGATTATTTCGTTTTATATGAATTCCATGTTGTACGAGTCACTTAGATTTTACAAATAAGTGTTCTGGGCTGTGAACGGCTCACCTATTTGTAAAATCTAAGTGACTCGTACAACATAAAAATTCATAAAAAACGGAATAATGAACAGTGTTATAGGGGGGTCGACTGTATTTTAACAAATATAATCCATTATACGGTACAATAGCCTTCCATTATAGCATAAATCGCATCAATATCTTCTATTAAATCGCATCGATCATCTATAACACATCAATGACTTCTATTGTATACAGTTAAGTAACATATCAATGCTTTCTATTGTCCTATAAGTGTTTATAACAATACAGTACTGAACATTATGGTACGATGTCTTTATTATACCGTACATAACAAGCCAATATTTTCATTAATATTTACGGTATTACTTAAGCTATTATAATTTCATAAAGAGCATATTTAAAGTGGGTAGATTTTGCTGGTAGAGCGGAGAGTATGAATTGCAGAAGTGACCATTTCGAATCGACTAGTTACAGTCGAGAGATTAGCTTATAACTAATTGCACAACATAATTGTTGGATTACAAAGCTACAGTAATTCAATATATTTAGTACGGTTGGATTAAATTCCAAATAGAGACAATATATTTGTAAATTTAGTTAACGAAACTAATTACAAAAGGATATTTTATAACATAATACCGAATCATTTTCCACAAATTCTCCGACGTCTTCTCGTTAAAACGAATTCATTTGGTACAAAATGTTGACAATTGCCATTATAAAATTGCGTATTTTTAATTATTAAAATACATTTATAACGGTTATTTGAGTGATTTAATGATGGAAAACTCTGACTTTTTATGGTAGAATAAGCCTATAGTTTTATTATCCAAAACGGAATCTGTGGCTTATGTCAAAGGTCACACATCCTCTTTGACTGAATAAAACGATTATCCCAACTCGTTAAGTATTGACTCATCTCTTGTCATTTGTACCAGAGATACAAGGCAATTTTTTTCTACATAATAACCGCAGAAACTTTTAAGAATGTAAGGTCATTTAAAGAAAAAAAATATATATAATGTACTTTTCTTTCTGCATGCTAACAAGAGAGAGAGAATTCTATTTTTCTTCTAACACTAGTTAGAAATAGCTGTATTCATTACAAGAATAGTTTTGGTTGTACTATACTGTTGCTATTAGAAATATTTAAGCATTAATTAAGAATAGCTATAGTTCATTTATCAATTAATCCTCCTTGGAAATAATTATAGATGCTAACTAGGAATAGCTTTAGATTTACTTGAATTATGTTTTTTTTATAGTTTCTTCAAAGGAAATGTGTGTTTTTCTTATAGAAAAAGCTTCACTAAGTCTATTTTTCAAGTATTTTATAGTAAAAAGGCATTTGAAAACTTCAAAAAAGATACAATACTGAATGCCACGTTACAGAAAATTCTTTAGAAATCAAATACGAAGAAGAAAAACTTTTTAGAATTATGATTAATGTAAATCTATAACTTCTTTATATTGATATTATTTTCATGTTGATGATAATGACTAAGTGTTTCAAAGAATTGCAGCTTAGTCATTTCTTTCTTCCAACCAAATGGTAACTATCAATATCGGTTTCCTTCGATATCGAGAATGCTTACAGCTGTTAATTGTCAATTATGGCCACAGCTAATTGTCTTATCCTTCGAGCTGATATTCCAACCCATTAAGTAACCATTAGCAAGATGAGTGATTCCGGATAGTTATCGTTTCGAGAAGGGAGGAAGAGAAAAAAAAAAAAGAAATTATATATCTTGGTTACCGAAGAATAGCTAGACACTACTCTCGAGTGACAAGGAGATAAAGCGTGATAAATGTGATCAAAATCTTTCATAAAATGTCTTAAGGATTTCTTTCGATGACAACTTGACAAAATCCTTTGTCACAATGTATACTTTCTTGAGAGTTCATTATTACAAAGCGCTTTATATATACTCGATTCTGTATGTATCTTCAGCATACAGTTTGTTCTTTACACGTATATAACACAGAACCTGTTCTAAACTATTGAACATTTCAAAAATATTCATCTTATTCATTAATAGAACAGTTTTAATACCAAATATTTCAAGTATTATTGGAATAATTACTAAAATCTAAAGTTGAAGACTCGTGGATATCACGATAGATCCTTTGCTGTATCATCAATAATTGTTAATTTCGATCGTTGTATTCGTTACAATCGATTAGATGATCTCCATTCGACTAAATTATTTTCATCTAAAACAATCGAACGGGTGATTCTAATCCGATTTAATGAAACAACTTACAAAGACAAAGAGAAACAATGTGCCTAATTTGAGCTTTTATTTGAATCGATTGTCATCACTCGATCGATACAAGGAAGTCTGATCTTGTAACATCAGATCCAAAGAGGTAAAAAAGAAAGAAAATCGAAGGATCGTTCATATTGATTAAGACCATCTCTAGTAGTCACTCTGTGCAAATACAGTCGACCCCCCTATAACACTGTTGTTATTCCGTTTTATATGAATTCTATGTTGTAAAAGTCACTTAGATTTTACAAATACATGTGCAGGGCTGTGAACTGCTCACGTATTTGTAAAATCTAAGTGACTCCTACAACATGGAATTCATATAAAACGGAATAATCAACAGTGTTATAAGGAGGGTCGACTATACTACAATTACCATACATCATGATTTTCTTCTATGTGTAGACGCAAATAATTCAAGAATACGTTATTAAAAATGGAAATGTAAATGAAATTTTCATACTAAACCGAAATTTAACTCCTTTTAACATAGAAAAGTTATTAAAACAGTACTAAAATCTGCTGAAAATTTAGTAAATTGACGTTCCACTGTCATTAGTGAATGTATCCGATATTGTTAGCTTATATGGGTCTTATATTATAGTTAAGTAACTATATAAATATGTATATTAATGTAATAAGTTAATTACGGTAAATACTATAGTTACTTAAGCATAAACTCAATAGTAATTTACATAAATTATAATAATTATTAGGATTTATTACCTAATTCTCTAATTCGTGTTCTATCGAAATTTGACAATTCAAGTTTTTCTACTAAATATATATTTATTGAATGAAATGTTTTCAAATTTGGTTATTAAGTTCAGTAGAGAAGAGGATTATGCAAGAAATAAATCAGTTTCTGAAAATGACACCAGGTAAAAATTGGCGCTGTATCCAGTAGAACTATGGGAAAAAAGTATAGTATTTTATGGAAATCAAATGATTAACAAGTAGAATTGATTACGGGTGACAAAAATTGGATAATTTTATGAAAATTTTGTGTCTTAGCGCTTAAATTCTTTAAATTCCATAGCTTTTCAATTATCAATACGTAATTATATCTTACAGATTAATAAATATCAAAGTGTAAATTAGTGTATAAATCTCAAATGGCTGCAGATGAGAGTAGAACCCAAATTCTTTGCCATCGAAGTCATTCCCATTGGAAATCGAAACACGCTTTGAATGAATATTTAATTTACACTTTGAATATTTGTTTATCCATTTAATTATTGCATAAGAAAATAAATATTTTTGTAGAAATTGGAAATTCAAGAGGAGGTAGAAAATTGACAACATCCAGTGCTGACCAATTACAGAATGAAAAACCTGTATCTGATGAAAAAGATATATATTACCGTCCATATCAAAATGAGGACATTGATGATAGCAATGACGTTCACATATTTTTTGATGTGAATCATCTGGATGGAAAAAAGAGAAGTGGGCATCGAATCGAAGATCCTTATCAACCCATGAATACTTTATCAGTGACTACTCCCAGCACGAGACGTTCTTGTGACATTCTTCTATGTGAATCGGGTGGTATATGCATTCAAGATGAAGTTCAAGGTACAGGAAGATGTAGATGTCCATTGGGAAGAGGTGGAACGTATTGCGAACAACGTGAGTTTGTAATGATTTCCATACAAATTGTAATTTAAACATTAATTTGTGGGAATAACAATAAAATGTATTTATTATTTTAGCGCTAGAACCTCGTTATCCAAGATTTAAAAACGGCTCCTATTTGATTTTACCAGTATTGAGGGAAGCTTATAAATCCATGCAAGTTACGATCGAGTTTCGTCCGGAAAGTTACGAAGGTATTCTTATGTACAGTGGAGAAAAATCAAATTTGCAGGGAGATTATATAGCAATTGTATTAAATAAAGGTTTTGTGGAATTCAGGTGAGTTTATTTTTATCTTTAGCATTCGATTATACAATAAAAAACCACCAGAAAAATCTCTAAAAGTATTGATCTTTCAAAAAAAAAATCGACCCATTTTAGAAGGAACTTGGACCTCTGTCTTAAGTTGTTAGATTGTATCACACCAGCTCTATTTCTCAAACTTTTTTTGTAAAAATGCGGTTGTCAGACACGGTTGCATTTCTTTTTCTTAGTCAATTTCATTAATAATGATCAATCATCAAAGGATACAGAGATATTTTCTACCCAGTTTCAATCTAAGTATATTGCATGGATAAAGAATAGGCATTTTGATGATTATTTTAAGATATTCATGTTTAGCTTCCTTCATTGATTCTATGAAGGATGAGGAAAACTCACTACTTATGAAGGATCTATTTTCATTGCTCTTAAAATTCTCTGCAGAGCTGGTCCTGCAGTTGGCAAAAAAATTTACGTCTAGGGGCTCGCATTTTCAGAGAATTCCCCAAATTTGGTAGTACATTTCAGTATTTAAATCATCAAAACGATAATTATTGAAAATGTAATTGTACTAGTATCTGTTGCATCCACAGAATGATCATTTTTAAAGTTAAACTACCTCTGATCAACACGTCAAGAGACTTTCTTCACTTTTGATCTTGTCCATTGAAAGAGATATTGCTGCAGCAATATCTCTTTCAATGGACAAGCATCTAAGACCAGAAAAGTACCTGTACATCAGAAACTATAGAATTGTTTTTCCTTGTTTTTTTGTTTGAATTCATTCATACTTGGATTCATTTAATCATCAGTTCCACTTCATTGATAGAATGTTCAGTGAGTGAAATTATACAAACTGTTTATTGTATCAATATACTGTTAAAGATTTTCATGAAACGTCACCTAAATTGTGTACATTGCAATGATGGTTATCCTGCCAAGATATTAAGAACATAGCATCTTTAATATCTTAATTGTTGGATAAAATTGTATAATTGTGTTTGCCACAATTTGCAAAAACAAAATTCCATTAGAATCAAAAGATCACAGATAATACAAGTAAAATGTGTAGTAATAGCAGTTGATCATATATAGCAATTACTTCCAATATTATTTGAAAAATACATCTATCAGTTTTTATCTATACTGATGTATCTTTATATATTAATAAACTACAAAAGATGAAGTTCTATTGCTTTACTGTTGATTTTACTATATACCAATTAATAAAATAATCAAATTATTAAATCTATAAATTTATTTTACTCCAGATTTGACTGTGGTATGGGTGAAGGTATTTTAAAAAGTGACCAACCAGTCGTACTTCATTCTTGGAATATGCTTTCCATATTTAGAGATGGATGGGATGCTTGGATGCAGTTAAATAATGGAAAGCAGATTCAGGGACGATCGAGGGTAAGAAAATTTTTTAAACAGTATTAACTTGCTTTTTGTTTTAATTATAACTGATAAATTAATTTGGAATATATTACATTAAGGCATAGTCATTTTTTTAAATTCTGTGTAAAAAAAGCATTAAGAGGATATTTATTTCTTATCCTTTGAGTTTGGCTATGCTTGCAAAAGAGCTGGATAGATGGTGAGAGATGGAACTTGACGTAACCAGGTTATATCATCCATTAAAAATACCTGTGAGCTAGATACAGATTCAAATCTGAATACCTCAGACCGGCATGCAGACACTTTTGCTGTCTCAGCCATCTGGTTCTAGTTTATATCAAATAGTTAAAATTCTTAATACAGAGAAAGAACTAAATTATCATTGTTGTTATTTCGTTTTATATGAATTCNTATTATAGTTAAGTAACTATATAAATATGTATATTAATGTAATAAGTTAATTACGGTAAATAGTATAGTTACTTAAGCATAAACTCAATAGTAATTTACATAAATTATAATAATTATTAGGATTTATTACCTAATTCTCTAATTCGTGTTCTATCGAAATTTGACAATTCAAGTTTTTCTACTAAATATATATTTATTGAATGAAATGTTTTCAAATTTGGTTATTAAGTTCAGTAGAGAAGAGGATTATGCAAGAAATAAATCAGTTTCTGAAAATGACACCAGGTAAAAATTGGCGCTGTATCCAGTAGAACTATGGGAAAAAAAGTATAGTATTTTATGGAAATCAAATGATTAACAAGTAGAATTGATTACGGGTGACAAAAATTGGATAATTTTATGAAAATTTTGTGTCTTAGCGCTTAAATTCTTTAAATTCCATAGCTTTTCAATTATCAATACGTAATTATATCTTACAGATTAATAAATATCAAAGTGTAAATTAGTGTATAAATCTCAAATGGCTGCAGATGAGAGTAGAACCCAAATTCTTTGCCATCGAAGTCATTCCCATTGGAAATCGAAACACGCTTTGAATGAATATTTAATTTACACTTTGAATATTTGTTTATCCATTTAATTATTGCATAAGAAAATAAATATTTTTGTAGAAATTGGAAATTCAAGAGGAGGTAGAAAATTGACAACATCCAGTGCTGACCAATTACAGAATGAAAAACCTGTATCTGATGAAAAAGATATATATTACCGTCCATATCAAAATGAGGACATTGATGATAGCAATGACGTTCACATATTTTTTGATGTGAATCATCTGGATGGAAAAAAGAGAAGTGGGCATCGAATCGAAGATCCTTATCAACCCATGAATACTTTATCAGTGACTACTCCCAGCACGAGACGTTCTTGTGACATTCTTCTATGTGAATCGGGTGGTATATGCATTCAAGATGAAGTTCAAGGTACAGGAAGATGTAGATGTCCATTGGGAAGAGGTGGAACGTATTGCGAACAACGTGAGTTTGTAATGATTTCCATACAAATTGTAATTTAAACATTAATTTGTGGGAATAACAATAAAATGTATTTATTATTTTAGCGCTAGAACCTCGTTATCCAAGATTTAAAAACGGCTCCTATTTGATTTTACCAGTATTGAGGGAAGCTTATAAATCCATGCAAGTTACGATCGAGTTTCGTCCGGAAAGTTACGAAGGTATTCTTATGTACAGTGGAGAAAAATCAAATTTGCAGGGAGATTATATAGCAATTGTATTAAATAAAGGTTTTGTGGAATTCAGGTGAGTTTATTTTTATCTTTAGCATTCGATTATACAATAAAAAACCACCAGAAAAATCTCTAAAAGTATTGATCTTTCAAAAAAAAAATCGACCCATTTTAGAAGGAACTTGGACCTCTGTCTTAAGTTGTTAGATTGTATCACACCAGCTCTATTTCTCAAACTTTTTTTGTAAAAATGCGGTTGTCAGACACGGTTGCATTTCTTTTTCTTAGTCAATTTCATTAATAATGATCAATCATCAAAGGATACAGAGATATTTTCTACCCAGTTTCAATCTAAGTATATTGCATGGATAAAGAATAGGCATTTTGATGATTATTTTAAGATATTCATGTTTAGCTTCCTTCATTGATTCTATGAAGGATGAGGAAAACTCACTACTTATGAAGGATCTATTTTCATTGCTCTTAAAATTCTCTGCAGAGCTGGTCCTGCAGTTGGCAAAAAAATTTACGTCTAGGGGCTCGCATTTTCAGAGAATTCCCCAAATTTGGTAGTACATTTCAGTATTTAAATCATCAAAACGATAATTATTGAAAATGTAATTGTACTAGTATCTGTTGCATCCACAGAATGATCATTTTTAAAGTTAAACTACCTCTGATCAACACGTCAAGAGACTTTCTTCACTTTTGATCTTGTCCATTGAAAGAGATATTGCTGCAGCAATATCTCTTTCAATGGACAAGCATCTAAGACCAGAAAAGTACCTGTACATCAGAAACTATAGAATTGTTTTTCCTTGTTTTTTTGTTTGAATTCATTCATACTTGGATTCATTTAATCATCAGTTCCACTTCATTGATAGAATGTTCAGTGAGTGAAATTATACAAACTGTTTATTGTATCAATATACTGTTAAAGATTTTCATGAAACGTCACCTAAATTGTGTACATTGCAATGATGGTTATCCTGCCAAGATATTAAGAACATAGCATCTTTAATATCTTAATTGTTGGATAAAATTGTATAATTGTGTTTGCCACAATTTGCAAAAACAAAATTCCATTAGAATCAAAAGATCACAGATAATACAAGTAAAATGTGTAGTAATAGCAGTTGATCATATATAGCAATTACTTCCAATATTATTTGAAAAATACATCTATCAGTTTTTATCTATACTGATGTATCTTTATATATTAATAAACTACAAAAGATGAAGTTCTATTGCTTTACTGTTGATTTTACTATATACCAATTAATAAAATAATCAAATTATTAAATCTATAAATTTATTTTACTCCAGATTTGACTGTGGTATGGGTGAAGGTATTTTAAAAAGTGACCAACCAGTCGTACTTCATTCTTGGAATATGCTTTCCATATTTAGAGATGGATGGGATGCTTGGATGCAGTTAAATAATGGAAAGCAGATTCAGGGACGATCGAGGGTAAGAAAATTTTTTAAACAGTATTAACTTGCTTTTTGTTTTAATTATAACTGATAAATTAATTTGGAATATATTACATTAAGGCATAGTCATTTTTTTAAATTCTGTGTAAAAAAAGCATTAAGAGGATATTTATTTCTTATCCTTTGAGTTTGGCTATGCTTGCAAAAGAGCTGGATAGATGGTGAGAGATGGAACTTGACGTAACCAGGTTATATCATCCATTAAAAATACCTGTGAGCTAGATACAGATTCAAATCTGAATACCTCAGACCGGCATGCAGACACTTTTGCTGTCTCAGCCATCTGGTTCTAGTTTATATCAAATAGTTAAAATTCTTAATACAGAGAAAGAACTAAATTATCATATAATATATATAAATTGCAAATTTTTATACATGCTAATCCAAGAATTATATTATATAAAGATTATTTATTGTTTTATTTAATTAAGCATTTTATTGGATTGTCTGTTAGATGTTCCAATCAAATGCTTAATTAAATAAAACAATAAATGATGTTTAATCTGTAACTGATTACTTGTTTGGAGTTGTTTATAGATTTATAATCATTTTGTATGAAATGATTATAAATATGTAAAGTTTGTATAGAATTACATAGACTTGTAAAATTTGTACACGACTTTGAATGTGTAGATTTTTAGTGAATAAAATGAGTAATTATTTATTGTGAGATTGTCACAATGCCGGGCTGCAATTTTTAATTAATTTTATTTAAAATATTTGCTCTCCATCTCAAATTAGTATATCTTGTCCCTGTATATCATACTTTTCCTTTTATAATAGTTGTGCCAATCATCTATTAACTGCTTTCAGGGGGAAACTTTTGAAATAACACGATTTCTGTTGCAAACTGGAAATTCATGTATAGTCAATTGGGGCCTCCTGCCCCTAAGGTTTCCGTATCTGGTCTCAGATTTCATCTATCTAATTCCGTTCTCGAGATTAAGAAAAGACAGAAGGATGGACGGACGACAATGGGAATTTATAGGTCTACAAATTTTCTCAAATTGCAGCCCAATCAGCTTACGACACAACTCCACGGTGTTAATTAATTGAAAAAATTGCAAATCCAATTATTCTTGCCAAATTTTGTAAACATTCTAATTAATTGAATATCAACATTCTAATGTTGCTGATATTCAATTACTATACTTTTCTCTCTTTACAGAATTAATGAAAATGAAGTTGACCGTTTTAAATAACCTAAACACAATGCAAAGTCTATTAATGAAATAATCAACTATTAATTACAAAGTCAAAATTGTTCAATATAATATATTTAATATTATATTAAATTGTCTTTATCATAGATTCACAAAAATAATTTGTAAGATCAGTTATCATGTGTTTAGAATAACTGCTCCAGCTTAAATATAGAGGATAGTCCAAAAATCAATTACTTATATTTTTAAGATTATTTTGTAAACAGTTAAAACTGATTTTGGAATGGTTACCATATTTTAGGAATGATTTTAAGGATTCAATCCTAAAAATATGTTTTGATTAATAGATTTTTTGGGCTTTAACCTGTAATTGATTTTATGAGCTTCTAACGAAGAATGCTGTCTGCTGGATGGTAAAGTGGTTAATGCATCAGACTGTCACTCTGGCAACCCATGATTGAATCCAGAAGGGTTGAAAAACACCAGAGATTTTTTGTAGGATGGTCTGTTCTGGATATGTTGGATCTTCTTCTCACCACCTGGCATTGTCAGTCTGCTGAACCTTTGACAGGCTTGAAAAAAAAGCTCTCGTAGCACCCACAAGGTGGAAAGAATAAAAAAAAATTAAAGTTTTTTTATTATTTTTTTATGTAGACACGATAAATTGTATTAAGAAAGCTAAATTAAACATTCTAAAATTTTTTAAATGAACAATAAATCTAATTTATATTTGAAATTAAATTAATACAAATTTTTATTGGTTTCTAATTGACACTTTTAAAATTAAAGCTTTCATTTGTAGAATTTTCTGGTAAATTCAAACATTCAGTTCTGTTTTATAATTTAAATTCTATTTGATTTGAATAAATTTTCAAAAGAATGTTGAAATTTATTAGAATTGTTGTTTTGAAAATGAATATTGAATATTTTGAGTTACGGAAGTTTTTTTTTGTAATGAATTAATGTAATTTCTGTCACCAAAAATAAAAAGAGAAATTAATAATTTGTTTTAGATTAATGCTTTAATTTTGGTAAATTAATTTTAAATGCTATTTTTGTTTAGTTTTTATTGAAACAAATATATAATCATTATTTTTTAAATTATAGATCAATTTAATAAGCTAAATTGCATTTAATTTAATTTGTTTTTGTTGATAACATATCTATAAAATTAACAATAGTGCCATTGATTGCTAATTAAATATCACATCAAAGGAAATAATTTTTAAATATTTTATTATGTACTTTTTAAAATCATATTTTACAACTTTTTATTGTTAAATAATACTGAAAATAATAATTAAGTTTTAAAACAGTCGAATTAGGAAATAATTTATAAAAATGCTGATCATAATTTGTCAATATGTACTCATACAGTAAAATATTTTGAAAATAGCTTCTTTATTTGTTATTTTCTATGAATCAAAACCTAAAATTTGTAATATTTAAGATTGGCTCAACACATACTTCTCACAAATAATCTTTTTATAAGCCCTTATAGATTAATATGAAGCTATTTCGTGCATTTCGGATACTTCGCAATTATTCCTCCCACTGATAACAAAATAAGTATGTGCAAGAATTATAAACTTAAGGTATCCCCAAATAGAAATAATTGCATATATGAGTTCAGGAGCCCCTGATAATTAGTACCAAGAGCTGCTGACAGGTCATATGATGGTCATTAATTATGCTGCTGGCAAATTAACACATCACTATATGTGTTAATCTGCCGGCAGCATAATTAATGACCATTAGACTTTTAATACAAGATACAATCCTTTCAATACACTGTTTAAGAACTGTAATTTATCCAGTTTTAGTAGTACTGATAATTAGAATATTCTCTTTAAAAAAGTGGAAATACAGTACTTATCTGAAAAATAAATGTTATGTGCAAATGAATCATTGTATATGTTGATTTTGTGCAATAAAGTGTTCATTAATCAATCTTAATAAAATAATATAGTCATGAACTATATTATCTTCAGACTGATTAAAAAGCATATGTAAACAAAGTGAAAGCATTCAATATGTGCTGGTACAAAATGTATGGCAATGTTTGTAACATTTATATTGCACGTAACTTTATCGTATTTTGAAAAAATATAGAAAAATTTAATAATTCAGCATGATCAGTCTTATTGGTGATGGATTAACGAAATTCTATCACATTAATATTATCATTTTCAAAATAGTTATATACACTAATTAACAGGGCCATCAAGAGAGGGACTTGGGGATATTTTCTTGGACCCAGAGTAAATTTAAGAGCCCACAGTGTAGAACCACTGTGGGCTCTTAAATTTACTCTGGGTCCAAGAAAATAATTAATACAAGGGTAGAACCCCTTGTAAATTAATGTTATTTTTACTAATAAAAAATAAAATCTTTAACACTGCTATTTATTAATAAACATTCTACATATTTTATTTCTTGAAAACAAAAAGGCAAAAGAGGACTACACTATTCTTGGACCCCATACAAACTCTCAATTGCCCTGCTAAGTAATAAATATAATTAGCCATATACAAAAAATAAAATTTAAATTTATGGTTTAACAAATTTATCATAATTAGTACATTGTTAGTAGTTTAAACTGCATTTTTAACTTAAAAAGTAACTACTTTAATATAACTAAGTTTATATTTTAAATTAAAATATATAATAGTTATTCAAAAATTATTTATATTTTTTATACATATGCGGATGTTTATTTAAAAACTTTTTAATGACATGTTTTAGGGGCTTTTCTCAAGAATAACATTCCGTCAGAATTTATATCTTGGTGGATCACCAAATATATCTTTAGTGAAAGATCGACTGCTTACGTCATCTAATTTCATAGGCTGCATAAGAAATTTGGAAATTAATAGTCATATTTATGATTTTAGACCAGTTAAAAGAGGTGATTCTCTTCAAGGAGTTGATATAGGTTAGTTTTATTTTAAACAATTATTTTTAATATAAAATTATATTTTTAAATTATTAGTTTGTCATTCTGAAATGTCTGAATTCAGCAGCATAACTGCAAATAATCATCGTAAATTTAATAATAGAATCATTTACATATTGTATTGATGGTAAATAACAAAGAGTAGTGGTTGGCTTATTTATTAGAGGATGACAGTTAAAAAGGATTTATGATATCCTATTACCTATTATTTCATTTAAGCTGTCACATATTTGAAATATAGTTACTCCTTAAGACTTCAAAGTTAGAAACATTTTAAAAATAAAATTGAAAATTTTACCAACATACAGTATCAGATTGTATAAAATTTTGTTTAGAGCATATTAACACTGATTTGATATTTACTATTTATCAAACCTAAATCCAGATATGCATTTTTGAATCTCCTCCTTGCTGACTCTCTTCCACATATTGTATAATACTTTAAATCATTTATTGAATAAATTAACATATGCAATACCAAACTGATTAATTGAAAATTGTTTTCTCTTTTCACTTAAATTAGCATTAGAGAAACATACCACATATGCTTATTTTATTTTCTGGAACATAACAACAAAACACTAATTTTTTAGACAGTATATTTTATTATAATTAATTTGAATAGTATATTGTGTGTGTGTGTGTGTGAGTGTGAAGAATAGAGAAAGAATGGCATGCAAGAGTTTTAATAATTTATTACAAGAACCAGCTGCTTACAATACACCTATACCTAACATCATTACACAAAGAGAAAGCATGAATTATGGTAGAACAGGTTTCTTATATACCACAATTCACCTAGCACTTGGTGATAAGAGTACTGACACTTGTTGCCCATCCTCTTTCAATGGTAACTTCAAAAACAATACATAAAATATGATTAATAGAATGCCTAACATGTCTCTGGTTTTTAATATATAAAAAGATATAATATTCTAATAGGTTCTGTGGATATAATATAAATCTATACTGTGTCTGAAAAAATTCAAAGTTAATTGAGCTAAATTAGAAATGACCTCAAATCTTGTTTCAAAATATTCATTTATACTTGTTTAATTTTTCTGTCGTTGTTAATGATTTCCATTTTGAATTTTAATATAAGACACAATCCATTAGGTTCCAAAATTAAATGTATCAATAGCCTCTTGCTTAGCTCCTTATTCAGATAATAAGTTAGTTAAGTTTGTTCTTCTTAGTATTGGTAGTTATGTTTCCATCTTAATTCATTATTTCCTGTAATTCACTAGAACACTCAAAATAATTGACTTTCACTTAAAGTTTTAACAATCATGAAGTAATTCCTCCTTAAATAAACTACAATAGCGTTGTAAATAATGATACTAATAATTATCATAAATTGAGAAATTTAATTTAAAAAAGAAATACTCAAAATGAGTATGAAAGAATTAACTTCAGATAAATTTTTGAAACTTTTAATTAAGTATACAGTGGGTGATCGGTTAACGAACATAATCCGTTCCAAGACTTTGTTCGCTATCCGAATTGTTCGTTAACCGATTGTTTTACCATAGGTTTCTATGGGAATTTAATTAATTCGTTCTGGAGACCCCCAAAAATAAAAAATATATACTTTCTTATTACGTTTATTTATATGTAATAATAAAAATACATACACACACAGTCTTGCATTTTTATTAGTCATGTTTTTTTTTCGTTTGAAATGGTTAAAGAATCTGTCTAATGTCGCTTGCTTTTCCCTCTTCTTCAGGATTTTTCGTAAGTAATTAATAGCATTGCAATTGTAGAAATCCCCAAGCCTCAACCTGGTTTAGATGCCATTCTAAGACCATTGTTCTGACATCCTCCTACTTCTTCAAACGATCTTTAATAACAGATATCGGCATTAATCCTCTTTTTCAGAAGAAAATATATCTCGTCGAGTTTCTTGGTGTTCTTCATTCAAGAGTTCTTAGCGTTCTTCTATCGTCAGATCCGTTTTGGGTTCCATTATGAACTCTTCGATGTTCTTTATTTCTCAGATTTGATCTTTGTTACTTCTTTAGCTGCTTGAGTTTTCTGGATTATACAGTATTTTTCTTAAATAAAATTGAACTGCTGCCTACTGTAGACCTGTTCATGCCATACTTCCCAGCAACATTAGACATCTTCTGCCCACTCTCCACCTTTGGTATTATACTCTCACCTTTCGAAAAGAAAAACAGATGCAAAACTTAACGAGTGCCTACCCGACAGTCCAGCGAATACATAAAAGAATTATTTTGTCAGAAAAATAAAAGGCTGGAATTACAAAGGAGAGTTTCAAAGTTCGGAGGAATACTATCCGATCGGTATATACCGGCTTGAGCATCGATGTCGACGTCTCCCACACTCCAAAAAGTTTCGAATTATTGCCCAAAGACAAGGAAAGTCCAATCGGTATTCGTTATTTTACATCGCTTCTTCTTGTGTTTGTTATGTGGGATGTTCGTTATCCGATCATGTGTTCGTTGTCTGAACATAAAAATCTTTCGCGAAAGTGTTCGTTATCCGATCACCCACTGTATATAGTTTACTACTCAATAATTTCAATTATGGTATGTATTTCAGAGGAATGCAATGCTGATGTCTGTAGCCAAATTATTTGTCACAATGGTGGACAGTGTGTTGCTGCTAGTCCGGATCATGGAATCTGTTTATGTCCCATTGGTTTCATTGGAGAAAAATGTGAAACACGTAAGTAATATTTTTTACCTTCTACTGTGGATTATTAACTAAAAATCAGAGTTACTTCTTGAATGGTCATTCAAAATATTTAATAATTCCTAAACCTTAAAAAATCTTTATCATATATTTTCTATTCATCTATAACAGTGTTTCTCAACCTCTAACAAATCATCGCCCCCTTCACTTCAAAATTCCGATGCCCAGGGCCGAGGCTAACGCCAAATTCGTACTGCATCGAATAGACTAGTGACTAGTATAATGTTATTTGTTTATTTATTGTACGATATAATGAATAAAATACATTATTGTTCTTAATATAATGCTTTACTATATCACCCAGAAAATTGTTTTTTGCACCACAAAATATAAATTGTTACTAATCGCCCCTCAACATGGAAAAATGCCCACATGGGGCAATATCGCCCCGTTGAGAAACACTGATCTATAATATACAGTCTGTAGTATGAATGCCATATTATTATTATATATGATCCACTTCTTTTGAATTGCCAAAACAACAAGGAACATTTTTTTAAATAAATTTTTCTTCCATCAACTGGTAGATCAGATCTTTACATATCTGTAAATGTTGAATCTAGTTTTACAAAACATTTTTCAATAGTCAAAAGATTTCTTCTACCAATGGCATAAGAATGGCTTGTATGGAGCTTGGAATAGTGGGCCATTTAGTCCTTTTTTTTTTTTTTTTGAACAAATGTATTGCATAGAATGATTCTTTATTAATAAAAAGCAGTCTTAAAGATTGTTTTCTAGTAGTAAAAATAACATTAGTGGGGTTCCTACTCCTATAAAATTAGACCCCTACATTTTCTCTGGGACTAGGGGAAAATCTCCAGCTCTCCCCTCTTGACAGCCCTGGATAAGTGCAAATATTTTAAATTATTTTTCATGGATTAAAATGATGAATTGAGAGAATTTAAAAAATTGTTTAATTATTGCATTTTTATGCGTGACATCACACTAGTAGCTTTAGGACCACATTCACAAATAACAATCTCCAGTTTGATGTTTGTATTTGCCAGATTTGTGTTCAGAGTAAGATTTGAAGCAATACTCTATCAAACTAGTAACATCTTAATACAATTTGCCACCAGGCCATTACAGAACAACTTTACCTGAGATGAAGTTAATATATATTTAATTTATACTGTAATTGAAAATATGGTATAAATGGTGATTAAATAAGTAAAAAATATAATAATGTATAATAATAAAAAAAAATTATTTTTCATGGAAATTTAATGCTATAATTATAAATTAAAAAGATTTGCCGTTAAATCCAAGTTGTAAGTGGGAGTCCACTCCTTTTAATTTATACTAGTTGTAAAAGCTTCTGTTTTGATTATATGAAATGGTGTATTTTTCTTTCTTATTGTCCATCTCAGTACGACATTATATAGTTACAAGGATTATATTAGTTTTACAAGGAAATATATTATTTAATAGTTTCTATTTCAAGAATATTTTGGAACTAAATCTAAAATTAAAGAAAAATTAGAGATAAAAAGCTGTATAAAAAAAAAAAAAAGATTATTTTAAATATGGAGAATAAAGTCATATACACTACTATTACCAAAGAAACCTTTTCCAATTTGATTTGCTAAAATCTTATGTTATTTACTGTTAAATCATATTGCCATAAGAAAAATTATTTATATATATATATAAAAGAAGGTACGTTCTAATAATTACATCTCATATCTTAAAGCCTTTTGCCTGTATAACTATTTATCTCCATAAAAATTGAAAATCAAGTTGTGTACTTGTTAACATCCTTAATCAATATCTTTTATTGATACTGCCCAATATTCTGTGTAAAAAATTTAAAGCTTTACAATAAGGAGTAAAATTTAATAAACCAATCTATCTCTTGATTTTAATTACAAGAATTTTTAAAAAACCAGTCAAGGGCAATAATGAATCTGATCTTCGCGGATAAAAAAAAACAGAGCGAAATTTTATCAATCTGTTTCTGTTGGTTCTAGCGATGCCCAGAACCGTTTTTGCTATCATATGTTGTTTCCACTATTAGAAGTATCAACAGAGAATTTCATATAAATATGATGTTTATCAGTTTATATATTCCAAAAATAAAAAGTAAAAAAAAAATGAGTCAAACATTTACGTAAATAAATATCTTTAATTAATACATTTTTTAGCTGTTGACATCATCATTCCTTCATTCAATGGATCGTCTTACCTTCAGTATCCGGGACTCGCAAATACTGTGTTGTCATTTATTGAAGTACTCATTGTATTTAAACCATACGTTCCAAATGGTGTTCTCTTTTACAATGGATACAAGATGGATGGATCGGGCGATTTCATTTCAATCAATCTAGTGAATGGATTTGTAGAACTGAGATTTGATTTGGGTACGGGAGTTGCCATTATAAGGTAATTTTATTAATATTTTTAATAAGTTATATATAAAAATCTTTTTAAAGCTTTCTTTAATCCTAAAATATAATAATTATTCTGCTTTATTGTTTAAAAAAAAAAATGTAAAGTACATATTCAAGAATTAATGAAGACATTGTCAAGCATTTAAAGTGCATACGCTTATTATCAGAGGGATTTTTAGAAGATAAATGTACTTAAAATGCTTGAAATGTATAGTGTAATTATTTATGTGCTGAAACTAAATGAATTTTAATTCTTTAATTGGTTTTCTTCTCTGAGGACTACATAAGAGAACTAAAAAGACATTAAATGAATTCTTTTCAGTCACAGAAACAGCAAAATATTGTTTCTTTACTAAAACAAATTATAGTTTTCTCATTTTAGGTTCATACTTTGAGAATGGAAAAGAGAAGAGAAAATAACATGTGCAACACTTTGCACATTACAAGTATCATACTTCCTTGCTCTTTTGCTTGGTAAAATAAAGTTGATAGACATGCTACTTTTGGTAGCCACAATTTTTTATTTCCTTTAAAACAGAACCTGATAAAATTGATTTAAGATTGATAAATTATAATTTGTCGTTTACATAAGAAATTTCTATACTAATTCTAATCATTTCAAATATAACAGATATCTTTACATACATATTTAAAATGCACTTCACAATCATCTTCCTTAATTTCTTTTATAAGGTTATAAAATTTTTATTCCCTCTTCTTCTTGAATTAAAAAAACAAGAGTAAATGCAGTTTTTATGACTTGGATATGCAGGTACCAAAGATGCATGTATGTTTCTCTTTTCCATTCTCATGAAGTATGAATAGGCTTTAGTTGAGTTTTCTTCTAATAATGGAAGAACATTTTTAGTCTGCCTTTTCAGTTTCTGATTAACATAACATTTACAAGGAGATGAAACTCACTTTTTATCTCATTAGCACATTGCTGAAATGAGAACAATAACATAATATAAATAAATAACATAAATATTAAATTTTATAAAAATAACTATCAAATTATTTATTATAGAAGTTCAGAACCAATTTCAATGAATGAGTGGCACACAGTTTTCATATCAAGAACAGGCCGAGATGGAATTTTAGAAGTCGACAAACAAGCTCATGTAGAAGGAATGTCTCCCGGTGCTTTTACCCAATTATCTTTACCACTTAATCTTTATGTGGGTGGAGTTCCCGATTTTCAGGACACTGCTCGGAAAGCCGCTATTTCTACTTCATTTAATGGTTGCATTCAGAAAGTAAGAATTTATTTTCTAATTTATATAAATACTCACCAGTTTGTTTCTATAATTTCTGTAACTAATTATTATTAAGTATTCAAATTTGGGCTAATATTCAAGTTAAAATATCTTTTGACAATTTTCAATTTGTTTAATTCGAGCCAAAAGCAAGGGTTTGTCTCATTTTTCAGGATAAACTTATTTCTAAGATCAAAACTCTCTTTTAGTTGGCTTTGTCACCAGTTGTCATTGATGTATGTCTTAAACATTTTTATTGAATAAATATTCTCTACATTATTAAGCCATTGCAGTGCTCTTATTTTAATACAATGAGGAATAGTTCAAAAATATCAGATTATTTTAATTTATTGTAATGGTTGAAAGAAGTTAATTAAAGAAAAATATTACATTTTTGTGTGTACAATCTATGATGGCATATTGCTAGAACAAAATTAGAACCTTTTCATTATCACCACACTGTATACCCCAAATCTATAGAGCAGCCTATTGTCCATAAGCATTATTTTGTAATTGCACTTTAAAAACAGAACACGCTCGTGTTCTTCAGAGCAGTTGGTCAATGCACCAAATGCCTCTCGTCTGGCCTTCCAACTATCCAATGATGCCTATTATAATTTCATACGAATTTTCTTATAGCATTACCAAACAATTGTTTTCTTAGTTATTTATTAAAACTTTACAAAATAAAGTTCTTAATAATGTAGTATTTTTATTCTAGTTGGTGATAAATAGTAAACCACTCAAACTTTTAGAAGAAGCTCTTTCTGGTGTGAATATTGGAAATTGTGAACATTCTTGTGTCAACAGTCCTTGTCACAATGGTGGAAGCTGTGAACCAAAACATGACTTTTACACTTGTCATTGTCTGTTAGGATATACAGGAATTAATTGTGAAAAAGGTACGTTTCTTAATTTTGAAAAATATAGCATAAATATTATAAAATTAATGGATTTATGTTTTAGAAGAAACAAAATTAATCATTTCCATCTACATGACAGTCCTATTAACATTCATAGCTCATACGTATGTTAGCGTAACAGACTTTAATCTACTATCCAGCAAACTAGGAATGGAATATTTAATAAGCTGTCATTAGATTGACAGCAAAAAAAAATATGATTATCAGTTTTGGATTGTATGTGAAGTAAAATTACTGAATATTGAACTGTCTCAACTAACAGTAAGGAATAAGAAATAAGAATTGAATTTTAAGTCATTTCTTTCCTTTAATAACAATTTGTACTTGCGATGCCATTTATATTTACTGTAATAAAATTATATTTTTATAATTATCACTTTAATTAATAATCAGGACTGTTTTAAGCCTTTTTGAAACCCTTTCTTTAGCATCAGTATTCAGATATCATTATTAATATTTTTGTTCTCTATAAGTAAGATGAAGCTTACTAAGAAGGCAAAGTTCAGCTATGGCATGATATGCCCATGTTTTAATTTGGCCCCAACAGTAATAAGAAAAATATATCAGAGAGACATTGTAAACGAATAGAATTAATTTTTTCCAAAATTAAGTATATATTTTAAATTATATTTATTGAGTTTTGATATCTTAATTGCAAATGGCAAATTCTAATGTAAATAAATATTATATTTATTTTTTATGGTTAGTAGCTCCAGCTGTGCAAAAATTTTTGGTGCACTCAAATTTTTTGGTTAATAAAACAAAAACTGTGTGGTTACATGATTCATTTTTACTTAGTTATGAATGCCCTAATTATTGATCTGAATTTTTTATGATTTTGTACAAAAATGTCATGTTTTAAATATGAATGAGAGACTATTTTCAGGTTTGAAACAATATTTATACCAAATAGTTTGATGTTGGAATAACAAAAATATTTTTGATGTAATTCAATATTCAGTCCAAATTTTTAATTTTATTCTTTCCAACACGATGTATGCTCTTAATCACGTAATTCCAACTATTGCTCTCTTTAGGTTAGAGTGAAAGATTGATTTATCAGTGAAGCACACTATGGATTATTGATTGGTCTAAATTATGTCTTGGACCATTTATAATAAGTGTAATCCTATATAAATAGTCTTACTCATAATGAATTGCATAAGCTTAAGTGAAGAAAAAGGAATGATGATCAACCCATATTACTTTTAAAGTACATTGTGTTTGAATCCACTCTAGATTCATCTACAATAAACAGAGATCTTCAGGGTGATGGACAAACTATGTTAAGCAGTCATCTGGCCAATTCTTTATTGTTTATTCAATAAAACATATACAGCAAGCTGCAAGAAAGTGGCATCCTCTAGATAATAAACAATTACCCAAATTAAAAGACTGAGGATCAAACTTGACACGATTCCCATACTTTCTAACCAAATATCCTACTCGGCTCTTTAAATATTTAACAAATCATCAAACACCTGATGCTGAGAACATTTATTACACAAACATTAACGTTTTCGACCTATGATAGGCCATCTTCAGATGCAATGAAATTCGAACGTATTTTTAACTTAACATTAAAAACGACAGAACGTTCAAACACTTTAAATTTAAAACATACTTTCTCTTATGTATACATAACAACCAGTAAAAGGAGAAAAAATAAATCTTTAGTAATTATTACAACACAAAATATAGAATTGATCTCAATTTTGCTGATTTACAACAATTACATAGTATATAGCACATGACAACTCACTGTAGGTCTGATGAATCAGCATTGAAACTATATTTTGTTTAATGCATTTTTATGAAGTAAATTTTAAATTAATTAAATTTTTAAAAAACTTTTTATTGAAAATTTTCTACTTATTTTCCTTTTATCTTTTATTTTAAATAGAAGGAACTGAAATTATTGCAGAACCAATGTTTACTGGAGCTAGTTATCTACATTACATTGATGATGGCATCATGAAGAGGTGAGAGTAACTTCAAAAAATAAATTTATATAATTGACAATGGTGAGGACAATTCAATCATTTCAAAGCATTCAGAATTGTCACTATTTATGAACCTAAATCCAAAAATGGCAACAATTTTGAATGGTCCAGGTCCTAACAAATGCACTGTGAGTGCATTTATTACACCAAGAACATCCAGCTGCTCTCATAAGATAATTTATCAGCTGTTAATTTGTTCATCTGAAACATTAATTCACATTTTAAAACATATTTTATTCTTTTGCACATTTCTTATCAAAAGAAAATGTTTTCCCATACATTCTAATACCTATCAGGTAATTATAGTTATTAAAGCTTCTTTTATAACCTGTTTTCTCTTTGTATTCATATAAGCCATTGCAATTCTTTTCTAGCAACTGTGATAGTTGTCTCTTGTTGAATGCCACTTTAATGTGCCAAAAAAGTCAATGTGTTTATTTTTTTACTAATTATGAATGTTTTATATATATATAGTAGTCCCTCAGTATCCATGGATATCAAAATTTGTGGATGCCTAAATCCCTTATGTAAAATTGTAACATGTACACCATGATGTGTGTAGTCTATAATTACTTTAAATCAGTGAAAGGCAACCTTTTCTGGATGAGGGCCACAAGGGAATTTTCATAGGCTTTCAGCAGGCAGCATATATTTTTCCTTATGGAGTTGGACTTTAAATCTGCTGAATATCAACATTCCATAACCACTATGTGGAAGTTTTTTAAAAAGTTTCTGCCCTGCTTAATATAATTATGAGAGGTTTGGATGTTTACCTGTTTCCTACAACATATGCAATTTTTATATCAGTTACACACTAAATAAAAATTGACATGTTTGGCATCTTGAAATTCTCAAACATTTTTTTCTTTCTCAATTATTTGTCCAACTTAATTAAATTTAAAACTAATATATGATGAACTCATTATAACTGAGAAAATTCATTGAAGTACTTTAGTCAATTTTTTTCCTTCTTTGTGATTCTCAAATATTCAAATATTGTGGCAAAAGCAAGATTTATCAACTATTTGTGGATTTATCTCACTATATAGCTTTTTAAACATAGTTGATGGTTGTTTGAATATCATTGTGAAAGTTCCATCTCTAGAATCAATTCTTGTTTGAAATAGATGTTGCTCTTTTTAATAGAGTACTCCTTTGTGACTTCCACTTTTCCAGTTTATAAGTTGTCTATTATAGTTGTATGCAATCCATATTTATCATCATAAATTTATAATGCTACACTAAAATTCTGAATAAATAGTTCAAACTGTATTTCAAAATAGTCTCAACTTATGTCACCAAACCCATTTGGAAATTAATTTACTTTTTCACTGCTGTCTTTCAACGGTTTCAGGAACCAATTACATTGTAAGTGGAGATCTATTATACTTCTTTTTTTATCTTCATTCAAAATTTCATCATTTTGTTTTCAGAAAGTTAATTTGAATAATTGCTTTAAGCAATGATGAAATATTTGATCTTAAGTGCATTACTTTAAAAAGAATAATAATTATAGATAAGTGGAATGACTCATCAATCAAGTTTTCTTGGTTGTAGACTAGAATATATGCATATATCCAAAACATCTTGAATTATGCAGTAACATCAGATTATAGTTGATCTCAAAGCACATTTGCTATTCAGTATATTAACCTTGACAATTTTATCTACTTGTTTACCATAATTATAGTAATATTTTTTTGTCTGTACAAAATAATAGCTCTTAGCAATAGCATTTAGTTTAATAATAAATGATTATAAAATTGAATTCAACATGTTATTTTTAATGATTAAATTCTCAATTTTTATAGAATTCGTGGTAATAAAGTGGACATCAAATTAAAATTTAGAAGTTTTGCACAGACTGGTCTCATTTTATGGGCTGGAAAAAATCACATGACTGCTTCCAGTGATTTTCTTACTCTGGGTATAAGAGACAGTTATTTGTACTTCCAGTACAATTTGGGTTCAGGAGAAGTCACCATTGTTCAAAATTCCACCAAAGTGGATGATGGAAAATGGCACAGTTTACACGCCATCAGGTCTGAATTTAGTTACTCATTTATGCTTAGTATGAATTAAAGAATTTCACAGTAAACTTATACTCTATATTAAACTGCATTTTTTGAATATTGGTACATAATTTATGCTTTTAAAAAGGCAAACTTTTATATTCTCTTAAAATTATAATATGTGCTCAACAAGCTTAAACCAGTCAAATATTCTTTTAATGTAATAAAATTCATTTATTCTAATAATTGTATTTTTTTTTGTAGGCATAATCAAGAAGGTTCATTGATCATTGATAACAGTCCTGCAATAATAGGAAAATCTCCTGGTCCTTTACATCAACTTAATGTCAACAATGGTTTATATTTGGGTAATTTATGATTTTAATTTGCATCTTATAATTTTTTACATTCAAAACTAAAACTATATGCATTAATTTAGGAGGGATGGAGGATATTGTACACCTGAGCCAAAATCATTACAAAATTGGAATGGTTGGATGTTTGGCTAACTTTACCCTGTCCACAGACTATCACGTCCATTTAATCATCCATGCAACAAGTGGGATCAACATTCAGCAATGCCTGTAGAGACAGACAGGAAACAAAACAAAAAACCCTGTATTTTGCACAACAGAAATACAATTATCTGTGCCAAGACAGAAGCATCCTGCATACTGCACATTACTATGTATGCTTTTTTTGAAATTGATGTTACCGCAGAAGAGTCTTGGCGAACGTAAACGTCGAACCATCTTTTTCTCCAGATGTCAGCACTGAAAGAATGTCCGAGAACAACATTCCACTTGACACATCACGTCGTTCATTACGAGGATGGCGGAGAACACTTCCTGCGAACGTTTTTAAACAAAGTGTCGCAAAGTATGTTCGTGCTATGAAACATTTGATAAGCTTACATTTCGGTTTGTTGTTCCTGTGCATTGTGTTTAGTGCCTTTTTTATGCTTCTATCGGAAAAAAAATAAGGTTAGAAGTACTATGTCTCATTTCCCCATTCTCTAACAATATCCCGTATAAATGTCGACGGAAGTTTTCTGTACGATTTATGCAATATTCATTATAAACACATTTCTAACATAAAAGAGTTTGAATACACTTTTGATAGCATAACGTTTGTGTGTGATAATTACTAAAATTTTATTTAAAATTAGATAAAACTAGTCATTTTAAGAAATTTCATAAAATATGATGAGAGAAGAGAATTTTGCATAAATGATATCTTTCCAACAAACTTTAATTAACTTCTTGCAATGGATAAATATGTCATTTTTTCAACTTTACTATTTAGAAGAGCTATGCTATAAAAAAACCAGGATCCAAAATTTTGAATTTGTAAATAAGATTTACTTTGCCTGTTTATTATAAAAGTTATGCAGTTAAAATATCTAAATAAATAATAATAGTAATAATTTTTCCTATAATTAAAAAATAAAATAAATAAAAATCAAAAAATCATCAATATATACCAAAAAAGTTTTGTAATATAGTTCAATATTATTTTTATTAAATATAATTTCCTTCAAGATGCAGAATATATTTATAAATCAAATCAATATGAAAACATGTTATAAAAATAATAAATTCTTATGTTTAAACATATAACTTGTTATAAAAATATGCAAATCAACAAAAAATAATTCAAATAAAAACAGGTTTATAAAAAGAAAAAAAAAATTGCTAACAATAAAAGCTAATGTTGTATATTAATTCCAATGACAATCTCGTTTACGATTGTCCCAAAGTATAATTTGTAGCGAAAAATGTATTGTGAATCGGAAGCACAATCTATAATTCTGTTCCCATATTTGCACATTATCTGTTTATGTGATAGTGATAATGACATCATAAGGAACATGTTACTAATCTAAGAAGTGTGCGATAAGTTTGTGATATAAATATATATATATAAAAGTTTAGTAATATTGCCAGATATGTATGCAGCCTTTGTGATAGCATAAGACATTGAAAATTGTTCATGCAGCATAGGAAAATAACTGTTGGAATTGTTGCATCAGGAAAATAAAAATCATTGTACATTTTGATATCTGCTTCTCATTTATTTTCAAATAATACAAACATCTTTAAGCATTAAAGCATATTTTTCTTTCATTTAAGCCTTTAATTCTAATCTAAACAAATATCCAAAAGTGAAATTTTTTCAAACATTTCTAGAAAGGGACAAACCAAAAATTTTACAATATATAATATATATATACACACATTAAAGTAATCAAAATTTTAATAATTTTTTAAAATATAATTTGTGTAATTTTAATTGATATAGTTGAGTAAAATTGTAACAGAGCATTAGGTGTGTGTGAAAGTTACCATGTTTTAGGTTAAAAATTTAAAGACTATATTAAGTTAAAAAGAGCACGAATAACATTGTGGTGATAAATGTCGTATACACACATATATATACATTTTATATTAACCTCAACACAAGTTATTAAATGTATAATGATTTTAATTTACATATACATTTTAACTAAACATTGCACTTTATTATCATAACCATAAAAATACAAGGAAAATATTCTCTTGGCATTTATAAAATCCTTTTTTTATTTTTATATTGTGTTACTATAATCAACCAAGAATCAATGTGTTAAATGATTGCAGATGATAATTTTACAACTGATATGATTTTCTATATTTAAACGGGTAGGGAGACATCAAAATTAGTTACTATACTGTACAAACTTAACTCTACACACAAAAACATTCTTGATTTTCACTAGTAAAAATCTATTAAGATGTTTGTATTGTGGTGAAGCATTTATATTAAAAATTGATTTCTTGATACTGTTCTATCAAAAAAAGTAGCTACTTGTTTCTGAAATTTATATCTATTATTTAGAATATAAATTAATATTACAAAATTATTGATTAAATTATTAACAATAAAATAATATATAAATTGCAAAATAAAATTGTAAAAAATCTCAATCCTACCTAATGAAAGCATTGTTTTTTTAATCATATATTTCAAAAAGTCCTTTCCTTTACATACAAAAAGTAAATGAAAACTTTTTGAATTATTGGACATCTACATCACAGTTCTTCACTGATGCAAGCTACTTTTTATTTTGGTCCAAATTTACAAGACGACTTGAGATAAACCACAAATTTAATATTTCTAAAGTCGTCCTGGAGTCTCTTAAATCTGAAGAGCTCAAAAAGTCAACCAAAAACTTCCTGCGATGCATATACAGTATACAGAAAGCCATCCTGATCGCGTTCTCTTTCAAAAAGTTCACCCATTGTCATCGATACTGGTGCCAAGCTGTGCTGATTAACAAGAAGAAAAAAAGCTTGATTTGGATGCAGCTGGAGTCGTCTTCTGTAAATTTGAAGGAAAAAAAATAAAACTGTCAAAACTTTTACTAACAAAGTAAAATACAAATTATATATTTTTAAACCTATATACAGGATGACCAAAAAATCGTTTAACCAAGACTATATTTTTAAACATAATACCTAATGATTTTAACTAATTCTCCAACAGTAACATGGTCTGGAACAAGAAATTTTGTTCTATCAAGAAGTGGCAATTGTTTCTCTCCATGATATCGTTCAATAATGACCTACATAATAAAAAAAATCCATGAAAATTACATAGCAGTAATTACATAAAACATTCAAAATATTTTTTAATACATTTACAATTTCAAAATTCTTTTACACTTTGTCTCTCACATTGAAGTTAAATGATAAAAGGTAACAGAAACAAATCATTCTGTAATACATGTTACTGTAAAAGCTTTCTTTTATGTATAAGAAAAGTGGTGTAAGCTTATTCACTTACAGATTTGCCTTGAATGATTTATAATCTTAGTTAATCAGGGCTTATATAGGTGAATCCTGATTATCTATGTAAATTCATGTTTTTGCATATGCAAATAATTAGATTATTCCACTCCTATGCCGCTGAATCTGACTCTTAGTAATTATCAACTGACTATATATATTTTATCTCATTACATGAATACTTTGGTTTATATATACTTTTCTACTTTTCTCAAGTTGTGTACACAATACAGTATAATAAAATTTTGCTCCATATATTCACAAACATCACACTACATTGTTATTCATTATAAAAACTAAAAACGTGTTTACATTTCATTTAACATTTTGGAATGGTTTCAAATTTGAATTAGTTGCATAACTATAAGCATCTTATTCAACCATTTCCATGTATGGTTGGTTCCATGGAGCACAATTTTACATAGTACGTGCTGACTCAATCCCCACATGGAGCAAGATCCTACTATACTTTCAAATAAACATAAAACTAAAAGAAGCACGTTCTTATTTTTTAAAAATTTCTATTTTTAATTACTATTTGACAAGGCATCACCTTATCAAAAATAAAATATATTTGAATGCAATGCCATGATACAATTAACTAAAACAACAAAAATTTAAACATTTTTTTTATATTTGTTTATTACAGAATTTAACAAAATACAATACATTTTAAAAATATATAATTCCAAATGTCTGAAGATTGTTGTGATGGCTAACTAGTTTTAATAAAACTAAAATTCTAATATTTTATTAACTTTCAGAGAATAAACCCACATGTTTGTATTTTTTAAACAATACTTGAAGTATTTAAATTTTCTACTCTCTATGATATAAAGACAGTAATTAAGAGAATAAAAGATCACTTTTGTTTTAAAACTATATAAAAGTTTAACATTTATTTAGAAGCACCGATGACTCTTACCATCATCATAATTTATTTGCATCAATATGTAAGTAAATAAAGAATAAAAGGTATTGTACAACAGAATAATCTGTATACTGGTGCATTATTGTAGATTGCTGTCCAATTGCTTTTTTCTCAGTATTGTAGCTGAACCTGACCAACAAACAAGTTAAAACACTCAAATACTAATTTGATTATCTGACCCTCAAGACAGAATTCCTCGTTGAATCAAAGAAAATACTGAGCATTGGCTTGATTCAATTCTTCTGTACACCCACTTTTTTCAATTTTGGCAATCTGAGACTTTAGAACTCTGGTGCATCATCAGGGTGTTAGGATTAATGAATATGCTCCAATGATACCCAAATAAATACTTAAATTATACTAAAAATGTACTGAAATTTCTGTTTTTTACACCAATGAGCAAAGTAAAAATTTAAACTATATTAAAAATGTACTTAAGTATTTATTAGAAGTATTTGGATATCATTAGAGCTGATTCACATATCCTTATAGTTAAAGCTTTAATGTTTTAACTTTGTGGGTTAGCAACACATTACCTGAAATAAGTGATAGATTGTAATACAGTAAGACCCCGCTTAACGCTGCCTTGCATAATGCTGATTCGATATAACGCAGTCTGCTCAAAGCCTTAAAAAAGCTCAAAATTTACACTGATTTAAATTATTGCGACATTTCATTGATTCGTTTATTATAATACAATTATTTGCGAACACAAACCAATCAGCAAAAGGTGGCACTTTCAAAATGTACTTTCTTTAAATCTATGTTTGTTTGGTGCAATTTTGGAAAAAATATAACATTATGGATGCATGCCATAGGAAATATTGACTTCGTTTGGCAAGAATTAACTGATAAATGCACAAATGAAGTGTAGAAGAAGTTATGGCTGAAGATATCCAAGAATTCTCAACAAGAAGAGCCTATTGCTATATTGTTAGGTTGACCAAACTCAACCTAATCGATATAGCACGGCTAGAAGATATACACAAGCAGGATATTGAGCAGTTACCGCAGGTTTCTGGTGAGAGCCTTACCAACGACGACCTTCAAGAACTGGCAGAACATGGAATTCATGTGGAACTGGAAAATAGAGATTCTGAAAATGAAGAACCCAAAAAATCTCTCTACAGACTTCCTTTGTAAAAGTTTGATAAGATAACCAAAATCATTGATCAAATTGTAGTGAATGATCCAGATTTTGAAAGCAGTGCAAAAGCAAAATGAGGTGTTTTGGATGCGATCTTCTGCTACCCACATTTGCTTGAGGAAAGAAAAAAGCGACAAATGAAACTTCATGACTTTTTTGCAAAAGAACAAGAATTTCAGAAAAGTCAGGACCTTCATCACAAAAAAATGAACTTTACATTTCTGTGTGCATATGATTGTGTTATTTAACATATATTATTATACAAATTAATATAAAAATAACTTAAAGTAAAATTTGTTTATTTTTAATCGCGTGTTCCCCTATCTCTGTTTACTCTATGTTAAAATGACCTCATTTAACACTGTTTCGCTTAGCGCTTTGTTATCTAGGAATGCATCCCCATGTTATTAAGCATGATCTTACTGTATTTTAATCCAAATAATTGATATTTTGCAATTTTTCCCGACTATGTCCATCTATAAGTGAATTTATAGTTTTTAAAGTACTGTAAATATTTGAAATAAAAACTAATAAATATGTTGCTGAATGTAATTTGAAGAACCTCAAATTAAGGATAAACAAAAAGTTGTGAATCTAACATAATGTCCTCAAACTTTTTTGGCTCTTGACATACTGTAAAATGAGAAACTTTTCTGGCACACCTCATGTACAAAATTAAAAATACATTAATATATTTTAAATTATAAATAGCTGTATACTGTAATAACCACTACCCTGTAGTCCTAAATTAGCTATTAGTTTATCATCATGGACATAATAAAAGTCATAGACTAGTATCTAGTATCATGTAGGACTCCTCTAGCCCAGCAAATTGCAGCAACTGAACATGGCATTGATTCCACAAGTGGATGGAAGAGTTCTGAAACATTGCTGAGTTATGCTGTCTGAATAACCACCCACAACTCTGTGGTATTCGTAGATACAGCGGATCCTGGATATGAACAGAACTCTCCAACTTGTCCCATAAATGCTTGATTAGGTATATTGAAAGAATATGCTGGCCACACCATTCATTGAAACTCTCTTTACTTGTGAATATAGAATGTTCCTTGAATCAATAATCAATTCTCGGTAACCTGGGCCCAAAGGCATAGTGCATTATCCTGCTGGAATATCCATCATTATGCAGATACATGAAATCCATGAAGGGTTGCAAATGGTCACAAAGCAGTGCAATGTAGTGGGCATCAATCAATGATGTGTTTAGGTGAACCATCAGCCATCCCAAACCAGTATGGAACAATCCATCAGCTTCTTGTTAACAATTAGGGTCCATTGCTGGATGGGGTCTGCAACACACAGAACCCTAACATAAGCCCGAAACAACTGGTATCATAACTCATTTGACCATGCCACATGTTGCCAGTCTACCAGGATCCAGTCAGTGACTTCAAGAACCCAGGTGAGGATGTCTAACGCCTACAGTCTGGTGTTGTAGTGTTAGCAGAAGCACTTTAGTGGTCCTCTGCTCCCATACCCCATGGAAGCTAAAGAATGCTCTGACTTGCAGATACATGTATGGGACTTGCATTGAGTGTGAATGTGATTTCAGTCAGTGTCACTTGTCTGCATAGATAATTCTAACCAGAAACCGCTGATCATTAAGCAGCTGTGGTTGGTCATTGTGTTGTCCACTATGAGAGGCAATAACTTCCATGACATATTCCCAGTAGACACAACATCATGGATTGTGGAATGTTGAATGGCTGCACAATTTTGGAAATGGAATATTCCATCCATCTGGCCCATTCAAATTATAATAATTCATACGCATGTCACCATTAGCACACTTGCTGGTGTTCAACCTGACTTACAAGATAACACCTCAAAACTAACATAGGTGTGGGCATTCCAAAGCTCTCATGGGAAATGCTTCATAATTTGCATGGTGCAATTCTATGACTTTTGGCACATCAGTGTAAATCTTTGCACAAATCATTTATTTTCATTTTTAATATATATTTTCGTAGCATTTATGGTACAATGAGAATTTAACTATCTCTTACAGAGAATCACTGATAAGCCACTATTAAATTTTTATTTAAAAAATAAATTGCAAACAAACCAGCTATTTTGTAAAGATATATTTAATTAAATTGTATCTTAGATAAAAGATAATTTACATCATTCTATATGTAACATGTATAATGCGCACAGTTACTTGTGACATTTTGAGTCTTTTATCATTTTCTACTTCAGTTCTTGACCTCTCTATTAATGGTCTTCAAATTCTTTGTCTGCCTGTCCTAACAGCTGCATTTTTCCTCTTGAGCTTCATCATCCTTTTTTCTCTGATATGCCACAAGAGTTTTTTTTTTTGGTCAGGAAGATACATTCCTAGCTGCCAGAATCATTCCTTTAGTTAGATATTCTTTCAACATAACCTGCTTCAGCAATTGCTAAATGTACTGATCTCTGTGCTACAAGTAAGTTTTTCTAATCACTACAAGTGAGTCATGAACATGTCAGAATTTCAATGAGAGAGAATTTTTCTGACAAATTTCACCAGCACCTAACTTTCTTAGGTTCTTTCTAGAATCATTATTAAGTAGACATCTAATCTGTTCATTTTTCTATTGAATTCAGTCATTAATTTCTTCACTACATTGGACTCACAAAGTTCTTCATAGTCTCCTTTTTATAGATCAGTATAGATGTTACTGCTAAAACTTGATTTTTTGCAATAAAATGCTCTAAAGTGTAACACACACAACACTCATAATATAGGACTTGTCATAACTTCAGGAGACAGCAGGAAGCATTTTTCATAATTTTGTTAGAGAATAAGCATTTCTCCATAATCTTTGAGCAAAGTTCAATTAAAAACTTACTTTTTTTAATAACTGCTTCACTAGAATAACTAAATTGAAGAGAACCTTGGAAAAAAATATAAGCAATAGTTTGCTTGACTGATACATTTCTAAAAATGGTTGTATTTCCATGCTGATGAATTGTAGCTAGTTTGCTATAAGTAATTCATTCTTCAAGTTACTTTCACATTACTGAAGTTTTTTGATGAAGGTGGTTTACTACTTGTCACTTCACAATATTTTTGAAGAGGAGAAACAATTTCTGCAGCTCTGCCTAGTAGAGACACTATAAAGTAAGAAGTTGGCATTCTCAAATTTGGATGGCATATTTTGTTGGAGCTGTCATTCTTTCCAGGTATTCATAAGCAGAAAAATCAAAATGTTCAAAAAGGAGTCTTAGTCATTAAAATAACTACTTTTAGAAATCATTCCTGAAAAAGGAGACTAATAGGTAAAATAGCTACTTGCTCTGAGGTCTGATAGTATATTAATTTCTCTCTCACTGACACGAACAACTTTTTCTGTTGATTAGACTATAAAACATGTATACAACCCTTTCTTTTAATATTTCAACTCTTCAGTAAATTTTAAATATTTAAAGTATTTAAGTATCATCTTTAGAATTTAAGTATTTTAAGTATCAGTAGACACCCTGTTTATGAATGGCTTGCATTGAATATTTTTGTCATATTGTTCCAAAATGCCTAAATCAAATCCTGGCCAGATGCTCTAAAATCATGTCATGGCAGTGTACCACTTCTCCAAATGCAAATGAGGTATAAGCCCATACAAACCTTCTATTTTGCTCAAATCTTCAATTAAAAACCTCTTGAATAATGACTTTTGAAATGCCAGTAAACTCTTAATGAATCAGATGTATAGCAGTCGGCACAAATAATTTCATACTTCTTTTGATGTTCTCTAGTGTCAGTTTTTGACTGAATCAACTAAGTCATCACCCAAGTCATCTCTGCCTTCGTGAAAGCATTTAAACCACCAGAATACATTATTACAATCCATATCCTCACTATTATACACAGTTTTTACCACTCAAATTCAATGGCTGTTTTGCCTAGTGTAAAAAAGAATTTAATGTTAACCTATTGCTTTATAATTTGATCATGGCACAAAACCTATTGTAACTTTTGACAGCAAATCTCATGACAAATGCCACAGTGCCATGAAAATTTAGTCATGGAGCTGAACAATGATACCATTCAATAACAGATGGCATTACTAGAGTCTACACAAAAAATTAATACATTGCATATGTCATAATGTACAAAATATGTTGTGCACCAAGTCAGGTGCATTTTTGCTTCTTTCAGAATAGGATCCTGTCTTAACAGTAAAATAATTCTTTGCAATCCAAAATTTAATCAGTTATCTAAATCTGTTGATTACTGATATTTAAATACATGAAAAAATTTAGTACTTATTTGATCCAAAAATGAAAATATTTAATAAATATAATAAAAGAAAATATATTGATAACTTTTCAAAGTGCTAAAAATTTATCATTTTTTTTAATATATAAGCCAATTATGGTTTGAATTTTTTATGAAGTATTAAAAATATCCAAACTTTTCAGGTCTCTTTTAATTACATTAAAATAGTCCTAGAAACTAGTTTAAAATATCTGAAATTTTTTGTTATATTTAATTGATAATTAAAATATTTAACTGCAAAATCTGAGATAGCTTAATAGTAAAGATTTATTTGTCTATAATAAGATTAAAACATTTATATTACAAATAGTGACCTTATTATAAACAATGTAACTGCACTCTAACTACTTTATTATTAAAAAATTTGGCAGAATACTAAATGTAATTGAACACATTGTCAATCATCTCTGATATACATGCGTTTGTAAATAATATCTAATTTAAACTATTTAAACCACATCCAGCTTGCACTATAATCTTATTATTACAAATTATCACCAATTAATTTTGCATTGATTTTACATAAGCATTAAACTTTAACTTTTGTTGCTATTATAGAAAGGTAAAATCCAGTTCCAGTAAAAAAAAAATTGCCGAGTTTTGGTATTAATTAATATTTCAAGAGATGCAGAAGACATGTAAAAAAAATTAATACCAAGATTCACCACTTTGGCACTTTCATTGCTGTAAATAAACATTTTACTGTATTTGTATAGGACACTCATGCACTTTGTACAAATTCAATGTAGTGGTGCTTTAGGACTGCTTGTCCTGTCCTAGAACGTCATTTTATCAGATTTGGTGGAATTTGGACTGCTAAATATTTCTTTAGACAGTAATTGAATATGTGAGCACTAAAGTTGGCTCTGTAGAGGACTTATCACACCACACTAAACTTATAAACTAAACTAATCTTTAGACAATGTTGGATAGGACTACTTTAAATACAATCATTTGGTATACACAAATGATGTTTTTTCACGTGTAACATTGACTTTTTTATCAACACAATACAGTTTTACTATGCCTTTCAAGCACTGTGCAGATGTTAATATTGTGTTGACATTTGTTTTTCCTATAACAATTTTCCATTAATAAAGCAATTCATAGATATATTCATAAATATGGAACTAAAGCTTTTGACATTAAAAAGAAAAAATGTATATAGTTATATATTAACAAACTTTTTTCAGTTTAAAACATTTTTATTTTAGCTACAAAATAATTTCTAAGATTTTTTAAAAATTTTTAAATAAATGCCTTATTATTTACTTTTAACCATAAAAACATTCAGTTTATCTTAGGATATTATAGTAAGTGTTAAGTTGCTAAAACATTAAAACTAGGCTATTAGCAGAAGCTGATATCATCTTAAAATTTATGATATATATTACAAAATTCTAATAATTTTTGAGTCAATGCTATGAAAATACTCATTTATTATAATTTCAATTTGATCATAATAATAAAGTGAATCTTTTATTATGATTATTAAAATTATTGTTGTTTGTTTTCATTTTATTCTTAATTTTTTCTAAATATCTTACTATAGATTTTCTGTAATTTGAAAATATTGGTCTAAATATATATATAACATTGAACATTTAAAAATTGGATCTAATAAAATTATAAAATTAAATTTTATTTTAAAAAAGTTTCTCAATGATATAAATTTTTGAAGAAAATTTTATAATTTTTACTGTAAGTAAATATAATAAAAACAAATTCTCTAAATCCTTCTTTATTAACTAACATCTGAAAATCACTATAAATGTTATTATTCTTGCACTCAGAATAAAGCATTTATATGAATTATAAATTATTAAAATTTTAATGAAAAAAATCCAATTAGAAATTTATTATTTTTAGTTAAACTTATATTTCTATTTCTTTTCATATTAATATTTTATATTTCATTATCATTTCTAATTGAAAATATTGTCATCTTAAACAGACTGATGTATACTAGAAATTGCAAAATCCTTTTTTTGATGTTATTTCAATAGACAAAGTATTAGATTTATTCAATTAGATCTTGAAAGTTAAAAACAAAATTGAATTTTATGAGAGAAATCCTTTATCCTTTATGAACTTTGACTTCAACTAATACAATCCCATCAGTATTCACCAGTTTCTATTAATAACAGTCCTTAAAGAGCATTATGTGATTTGTTTATTAAGTAAAGATTTTTAATATTTGTTTAATTACTAACATTTGATAAGTCTTTATTTTCAAATAAAATTTTAATTAAAGAATTATATATTTTATTTATTTAATTAACTGTTTACTTACAGGTATTTTATTTGGATGCTGTTGTCTTATTAGTTCTACATCTTGTTTTCTCTGAGCTAAATATTTTGAAAATAAAAATAAAATATTTAATTATTTTAAGTCTTTTAAGATTCTATAAAATGTCATTATATAATTGAATTGAATATACAAGTACAGAATAATTTTTAACTTAAGTAACTAAAACTGAAATTATATCCATTTTTTCAATGTTTTTAATATAAATTCTTTCAGGTTCTCTAAATATATTAAAGTTAAAAAACTTTAATATTTTTAGAGAACCAATTCGGATTTATTTGTATTCATGTTTTAAAGTACATAATATTTTCAATTAAATTCAACATCTTTATTAAAGAAATCACAACAATTATATATATGAAAAAATATCAACGTAGCACATAACCAAAAATAATAGTATTTACATAGTAGGGTCATGCTGTTATAGCACCAAAATCTCCACTTGACAATAATTTTATTAAAGTGGTGATAAAAACCCTAGTCTACTTATTTTGACATCTTGAATAAAATTGAATCAAAAAGTATACTTAGTGAGATGAGAGTCCCAAGCACACCTAAATAACATCATGACATTATTGTGAGATCTAGGACCTGACCTTTCTTTAATTTAAGGAAAATTTTATCCAATTTCTCGAGCGCAATCGTTAAGAAAACATCACACAGAAAAAGGATTGAATGTCACCCTTCTCATCAACAAACGCTAAGAAATTATAACAATCTATTGTTAAAAAATGCGAATTTCAACATTCAAACAAGTAAACAGGATGAATCTAACATTTTATGAACCAAACATTACACCATCTGCCCCATTTAGATGACATCTTACCTTCCTCGCTGGCCCACCTATGACCCAACAGCTGTAACTTTGTCTCCAAACCATCCAATCACCTGAGTCTATTTCCACACGCAAAGCGTATAAAAAGGGCTTGCACCTGAACATTGGAGAGTGGATATCAACAGTAGTTGATCAACAGCAAAAACTGATGATGATAAGATGTTTTAACTAGTGATGGGACAATATCAGAATTTTTCCTGATTCAGATTGTGTCATCCCATCGTGTCATCTGAGGTTGTCATCTTTGAAAACTATTTCCATGGCTGACATGACAACCAGGGGAGGGGGAAAGGTAATGGAAATGATGAACTTTTTTAATGCTTCTCACAATAGATGCCTCATAAATGCTGTAATTGCATCGTATTTAACACTAAATGAAGTTCGGTAAATGACGCAATGAACCAAACAAATATCATCATCATCATGAGTTAATGTTTAGAATTCATTCACTTGAGCCAGGTTTTCCTAAATAAACACAACTTCTGTTGGAGTGGGATTTGTTTAAAAGATTTGTTGCTGTTAGTTGTAAGGATGTCATTGGCTAAAGTTTATAAAATGATAGTTGTAAATGTCCGTCTCTCATATTACCCTCATATGTAAACAGTTTGAACTTGTTCTTTCACACCCAGTGCACACTGTGGAGTGTGAAAGATTACAGTGAGATGACATTAACAAAAACTCAAATTAAAAACTGTCTTGATGTAAAAAATGTCAGCAACTTGTTAAACATCTCCATAAATGGCCTCCAAGATGGGAATCAAAACCAAGAAAAATTGTTCAATAATGTATGATACTTGTGGGTTATGACCATAGATTTATGGTTATATTGGTAGCGCAGTACACTGTAATAATGTACAGTATCTATGAGAATAAACAAATGTTTAAATAATAATGTATTGTGTATTGTTCTGGGCAGCCTCACAGATGAGAAATGTTATCTATTGTTTCTAAATTTTTGCTACAACGTTTTTAGTAAAATTAGCTAAAATGCTACAGAAAATTTTTTCTTGGCTTAAACCCTGATATTATATTATTTTATTTATATAACTACAAAAGTTATCATACATAAGGGTTTATCACACCAAGTAACCAATGTAATACAATTTAAAAATACTTCTTTAACTTGTGTACAGTAGAGAAATAAAACCATTACATATGATAACTTTTGTAGTTATATAAATCAAATACTATAATATAACAAATATTAAAATGAAAACCATATAAAGAGTTTGGTTATTTTAGCCTACTATTGTCATGCTTTTCGTAATACTCAGATGATACGAAATATTACCATTTCATTGTTGAAGGAGACAAGAATCGAAAATACAATATCTTAATCATAATTTTTTTCTAGTGTTAACTCTAAGAAACTGTTCCATCCACAGTTGAATATCAAACAGTAATCTGCCAACGAATCAAATTTTCCAAAAAACGGACCAAATATTTAAACTCTGCACCCTCGAAAAACACTTAAAACATATTTTATGCTTGCCAGTAACTTTGTATTATGTACTTTTCCTATCCAATCGAAAAACGGGACTGTTACAGAAAGGAGTTAAAAAGTACCAAAAGACCAAAAGTAGTCGTTCACCTCCTCCCAGAAAAGAGAACAGTCAATGACGATTAATTAATACTAGTCTACTATTAATACACTACCATTTTTCTAGAATTTGTGTTTGAATACCAAATTGTTCAAGTATTGAGATACCACATTTCATTTCATTCATCGTTTTATGATTGAAGTAATCATTTGTAGCTAAGTAATACCTGTGGTTAAAAAAAAATTAATAACACTTACCTAGAAATAATTAAAAACATTACTAAATACGAAGATTAATCTATAAAAAGAAAACACAGTGACAGTCTTAAAGGCTAGTCTGAAAGCAACGACGACGCCTGGTTGGCAGGATAGTTAGGACAAGGAAGAAAAGAATTGCACTATCAGTCTTCATTAAAGTAAACCTGATGAATAGCACAGAATAATTTGAAAATTTCAATATTCTAAAATCCATGAGCAGGTTTGAAACAACACACATGCTTACTTGAATAAAAAAAAGTATTGACTAATAAAAGTTTACACTTAATAATTGTGAAATTTTGTACGGAGGATTTCCAAAACCATCTTGTTGTAGGGATTCCTATATATATTTTTAAGAAATATATTTTTTTTTTATAAGAATAATATTTAGTTATTTTGTAAATTTTTTGCCAATAGATGGCACTACACATAAAGCCAGCAAATCCAATGCAGACAGAAATTAATTGATATATAGAAACATATCAACAATTTCAGGTGGGATGTACTGTACAACATTATATAAGTTAGAAGTATGTGAACATAACTACCAAGTTTCATAATATTTGGTCAAACAGCCTATGCATACATAGTAAACAAACAAACATCCTCATTTATATATATATGTTACTGTGAATGACCGATATTTGGCATATGTCAACATTCTCCAGTGAATGTCAGCATACACACAGTGGTTTCGTGTATGTATGAAATATTTGCTAAATATCATTATTTCTCACTTACACCGACAAATGTCGACATTCAGCATGCACTGATGATGAATGTTGAATAAAAATATTTTTATTACATTAAGACAAAAATGCATCTTTTTAATATATCAAAATAGGAGAAAGATGATAAATAAATATGTTGGTTAAGATAAGATAATAATAAGATATGTTGGTTGTCTTTACTTTTTGTGTATTCAGTGTACTTACCGTATTGAACAAAATGGTTATGCGGCCTGTACTCAGTTATGTGGCCCACTGTGAAAAAAGTTTGGTAATCCCTGGTCTAAAATATCAATAAAATAATGACGAATTTAACAGTTAGTTAATGAATACTTGTTAAGCTGAATAATTTTTACATTAAGAAAATATTCATTAAAATATATGGCATCCTTCATAAGAAAACAATTATTATTCAATGCTTCTTGAAAAATATATATTCCTATAATCATTTACCAAATCATCCAAAACATATATTATAATGCAAGATAGTAATAACTAACAGGCTGAGGCAGGTTAAGGAATCAGTCTACTGCTCTGGAAAACTGAATTTAATCTGGACAAGCAACCCACAATCTTTTCTGGGTAGTCTATTCCAGATATGTTGAACCCCATCTCTCACCACTTGGCCACTCCATTATGAATCTGGTTGAACCCATGAAGACTATGGATGAAAAAGTCCTCTTAGTGTCCACAGGACAAAAATGAGAAAGCGAAATAATGATCAATTTAATAAACAACAACTGAAATAATTAATAAACAAGGCAAACAAACATTCGAGATGTAGATTCCTTCCGGTGTGGAAGTCAATCTATGATCTTTAATCTTAATAATCCTCTCCTTCATATCACCCCTCTTAAGGTGGAGACAGCAATCCCCTTGTGTTAACAGCTGCAAAGGTCAGTTGGCCTGAAGATGCCTGCTTAACATGATGGAAAACACTTTCTCATAATTTTGTGCTGGAAATTGGTTTCATTCAATCTTGATCAATTCAATAAAAAGATAACAGAAAAATTTTCAATTCTAACTGATATATTGATTATTTTTCAATTGAACATCTGACAAATACTAAAATATTAAATGGGTTTTAATGAATGATAAAATTGATAAGTGAAGTGTTTAAATAATATTTTTTTAAATATTAGACTTTGTTAACAGATTCATTAACAAATATCCTATAACACAAAAGTTAAATAGCCTAAAGTCCAAAAGTTTTGATAAAACTGAGATAATTATCTGTTAAGATCTACTTTCAATTTCAATCCATTTACATTCACTTGAAGTTAGTTCCAACAATACATCTATCCTATATATATATAAAATACTTAGCTTAAAGTCATTGTGAACATTTTCCCATCTAAAAGAAAAGAAAGAAAGAAAAAAAAAATAGGCAGCACTGGGAATTAATGAATTGTCATGAAATTTTTCAACAAGTGAGTAAGGATCCCCTAGTTTCATATAAAGTTGTTTTAAGCTAGAATAAGTTACATTAAACTATTAAATGAAAAATTAATATGGAGGCAGATTTCTCAATATATGATGTGTTTGATGACATAAATAATCAGGTTTAAATATCAATATCAAAAGTTTTTCAAATACTAGTAGAAATGACACAATTTATGTTTACTCTTTTTTCATTCTCATAGATAATGCTAAAGAATTCTGAAATAATCTAAACAACTTAAGATCTAAAGATATAACTTAATATATATATAAATAAATATTCATAAACATTAAAAATTATTCAATTGTTAACAAATTAAAATACACAAAAAATAAAATAGTTCTTGCTTTAAAATCTGTCCGAAGTTATTCCATATATATTAATTATTAGAAAAGAATTCTAAAAACAAAAACTTAACAAAAGATATTTTATAATTAACATAACAATAGACATTTTTGGGGGAAAAAAAAAAACACTCTTAACTGGTTATTCATAATAACGAATACACGCTTTATCCTGTAACCTTTATCAGCAACACTTATTCTGAAAATCAAACTTTTTCGGCCATTTTTGAAGCCATTATCAACATGACAGAACATTATATTCTACTATGGTAGGCCAACCATAACGTTTACAGTCCAATCGGGGGAAACATTTCCGAATCGGGAAAATAGCGTAAAACCGAGTTAGTTTTTAAAATTTATTTATTTATCAATCTACAAATCGGTGATGATATATCGACGCATTAATAAAATTCCTCTATTCCAAGATTGATTCTACAATTAAATATTAAAAACAGGGAAACGTCCGATCACCCTAAGTACAGTATAAATTGAATACAGTTATTAATTGGATGGATTCTTTCTTCAGTTTGGGTTCATACCAGGGCTGTGGAGTCGCGTAAAAATCTACCGACTCCAACTCCGACTTTTCCTTATCATCCGACTCCGGCTAAAACACCAAAATTCCACGACTCCGACTCAACAGCCCTGCCAGGGCTGTGGAGTCGCGTAAAAATCTACCAACTGCACGACTTTTCCTTACCATTCGACTCCGGCTAAAAACATCAAAACTCCACGACTCCGACTCCGAAGCCCTGGTTCATACAGAGATTAGTCAGGAAGGACGTTTATAGATAAACAACCATCCCAACCACACAAACATATATATTACAAAATTCATCTAAAAAGATTTATAAACCTTAAAATAAAAGAATATTTTAATCATTGTTAACAGAAGAAAAATATTATGAAATATAACAGAAAACAAAGGATCTGTAACACAGTTATTATTAAAATCTTTTGTCAAATGTTGTGTATAGAATCTTATTTCATTAATATATTAACAGAAGAAATGGTGGATATAAAAAATACATAATTTGCATTATTTTATTAACGTAAACGTCGAAAAAAAAACAACGACAACAAATCTACGTGATGCCATTTTTAAATTGCGTATTTATAGATTCGATATAATGTAATTAATTAATTATAATCGAATTAATAAAATACTCATTTAATTGACTTTTAAAAGTAAATAAATATTTCGGTCTTAAGTACGAACTTTATTTTGTTTTTTTATTTTCTTTCGATTTAATACGTAAGACGAAACAAAAGATTTGATGGTTTTTTTTAAAAATCCAGCTTTGTTCTTAAATTAATTTCGTTTATATTTCGTATAATAAATAAATATAATTATACGTAAACTTACCAAAAGTTCGTCTTTCTTTAAAAGATCTTTGCTGCGACATTTTTTTAATTAAATCTCAAACAAAATAAACACAACGAATGGCGTTATTTGCAATGAATATATCAGCTGAGCCAAACAAACGTCGTCATTGGATATCATGGAAGCGACATCTACCACATTGATAATTTTTTTATGAAATTAAAAATATTTTTAAAGTGTTTACTTTTTAATTATAATTAATAGTTTTATTTATAAAATAAATAATATGTATATATTATATATGTTATAAGTCATTTTCGATCTTAAATAATTTATTTATTTATATATACTGAGTATGTATTCTCTCCTTCGACTGCTATCGCGTTTTGGGGTGGCGCTAGCGAAATGTAAACAATACGGGTACGGATCGAACAGTAACGCCATAAATGCCTGGAAACCGAATATATTCTCATACTCTTCCGTAATACATTTGAACAAAAAAAACGGGTTGAAATTAAACAGTTATATTAGAAATTCATTAAAACAAAAGTAGAAAGGAAAAAAATCTCCATTGTTAAAACCGATCAAATATCGGATTCAGTTGTTCTAGTCATATGAAACAGAGACGAGAAAAAAACATTTAATGTAAAACATGACGCAATAAACGAGTGTCCTCCAGTAGAGATGGACCTTTGACGAGGCGCTCGTATACAAATAATTAGAACATAGAAAATCTCGAAGAGGGGAAAGGTTAATTATAAAAGGGGAGATCGCGTCAGGTCGTTAAAATTCTAAAACGTCATAGACTAGACAACAATGGGGTAAAATGAGCGCAAGTTCAAAGTCCCATCTACACCTTCCATCCAGAGTTAACGGATAATGACGGGTAAATTTCCCGAAGCGAACTTTCTCGGGACCCGAACGGGTCTCGTCTTTCGCTTAGGGACAAACGTGGAACCAATCAGGATGGACAGAAAGGGGAAATCGGAGATTAATGTAATCCCCGATCGTGAAGGACACGACGCACTCGGCGAGTCAACACAAAAGGAGTGAAAATCGGAAGCGCTGTGTCAACAAACCGGAGACAATCTTTTACGTCTTGGTGCCGATACCGAAGCAGTGCCGTCGCCGACGTCGACCAACGGAGTCTGACGAACTGTTTGGCAACACTGCCCCGGGACCACCTATACAACAAACAACTAAAGAAGCATCGACGCTATCGACTTCCAACCAGCCGATTGTGTTTAGAAAATATTTGTTTCTTAGTGTAAGTTTATTTTTCTTCTAAAATAAACGGAGTTTTGTAAGATACTTGTCATCTCTGTCTCTTCCTCCACACCCACACGCGAACGATCATCCTGACGCGGGATTAACGATCCCCCTAACAGTCGGAAAACTTACACTGGTGCGAGAAGTGGGGTTTTTATCCCAAAGTTACACTGGTGTCAGTGAAGCGTGATTTTAAGTCCCCAATATTCACCAGCGAACTTACAATTCTAGTTCGTTTGTCGTCTCGTCGTTTCCTCTACTTTCACACATGTTTTTTGTTACGGCAGTCAACAGAATAGTACGATTTTTTAATAAACTAATTTCTCTATCGAACATTGAAAATCGTCGAAACGATTCAAATTATTATATACAATAAATAGAGATTTTATTATAATATTCAAGGAATTAAAACAATCATTTCTGCATTCGAAATTTACAATTCATTTTAGATTAGGAATATTTCTTAATTAATGTAAAGGTGTGTTTTCACAACATTCGCTCATTTTCCTTTGCAGAATGGAGAATTTCAAAGAATTGAAGAAGTGGAACACCTCGGACCGTGTCGAGCCCCAACATGGCGCCTGGTCTTGGCCTGGTGTAATACGGGTGCATTGGAAAGATGCGGAGGAGGAGTGACATCAAATGGGAGTGACCTGAGACCGGACTGGACATTTTTTTCATTCATTCAACCTTTATTTGGTACAAAGTTGTACAATCTCGATACCGCTTAGAAACAACCGGAGAGATGTACAGATAAAAAAATTGAGACAATACAGAATATTACATAAACAATATTTACAGTAACATTATGTGGTAAACTAAAATTAAAACAACAATATACATATATATACAGTAGACCCCTATAAAACGGATTCATATAATACGGATTCGTATAAAACGGCGAAAAAATTGCGATCGTATTCGTATAAACGCGCTAAAAGAAACTCGTATAATACGGTATAACGTCATCGCCGACTCGTGTCGCGACAGGATTGGTCGAATCTAGACCAATAGTGGATATTGTACAAACCGTTGAGTTTAAAAGAGCAGCGGATCTATTAAAAACCATTTATTATTTAACGGCCATAAAAATTATATTTATATTAATGCTGTCTCCAAAGTTCAGCGAATTTTCCGCAGAAAAATAATTTATCAGGAAACACGCACCCGCCGTTCGATGCGTCACTCCGCGACGAAAACAATCTTAAGCAATGGCGTCGTCGAACGGTGCACACTCGGTAAGTAATCCTATAATTTTTTGTTTATAGCATAGTTTATACGAATTATTACCAAAAAATTATACGTGTTTTGGAAATGTTGAGTCAAATTAGCCTAGAATCGATTAATTTTATGGAAGAAAACCTTTCAAACAGCCGTAGTCCATAAACTGCATATGTGACGGGCTGTGATTGGCTCATGTATTTAAGTGACTCGTACAACATGGAATTCATAAAACACGGAACGTATCTACCATGTTATAGGGGGTCTACTGTATGTATATATATAAACAACAATAATAATAATAATAATAAAATATATGAAGCTTACAGTTGGAGGTACTGTACATATACGTTTGCAGTATAAAGCTACAACAATAATGTACGGAAGTAAGTACAAAACGGTTTCAGAGGTTACATGGTACGAAATATATACAATAACATTGTCTATTAAAATAAAAGGGATGTACAATTATATAATATAAGGTAGATAAAATAACATAGAGTAACAAAAGGAATGTAATATATACAGTATTAATGCTATTTACAATAAGTTAACAAGACGAGGATTATTGAAGCACTACATCCAAACATAACGTAAGTACCACGTAGGACAGGATGGCACGCTGAACAGGCGCCTGATAGCAGTAACAACAAACGGAAGGAAATACATTCCCTAATTTATGGTGGTCCGATAAAAGTAGTTTTTGACCAGGTCCACAAATGCCATAAACAAAGTTTCACTTTCTAAAAGGGCGCTTTCCTAACAGGGCCAGGTGTTGCCCGAAGGAAGGAGAAGGCGAATCGATGCTCTGCAATCCTCCAACACGGGGCACTCCATCAGGGACTGGACAGAAAGAAGTCAAGCCTAAAAGGCCTTGCTGGAAAAGATTGTTTTGCTGCTGGAAAACATAAACCCTTTTCTGCCGAGGCCTTTTTGCACGGATTTCGACTTTACACCAAATCTGACTCAGCTACTCGGAAGTGACCCTTAACCCGAATATGACATTTTCACTCGGCTACGACTTAATCAACTGAACTCGACTTTTCATCCCAATTTACGGATGGTTACTTGGACACCATTCGAGATTGGTTCTTCCACTCCGTTTAAGTGCATAGAACATAGTGACGTGGCAAAGTGACAACGAAATATTAAGTAGCGTTCTCGTGTTTAATAAAAGACTGTGTTACGCTGTTGTTTAAACGACTATAACTGCCCAAGGCATCTTATAATATTTCGACCGGTGTTCTACTTGTAAAACATTTCACCTCAGAATAATGCACTATGAACTTTAACTAAAAACCACGTTGAACTTTAAACAAACCTTGCAGTCGATATGTGTTTAGATCAGAATTATAATTACTTGAACAACTGAAATTTTTACACGGAATTTTCACGATTGTATATAAATTTTTGCATTTAATAAAAGTTATTAAATTTCATATTGGGCTAACTGTTTAGAGATTCGATTTTTTGTTTTGTTTTGTTGTTTTCAGTTATGGCAACCGACAACGCAACACTTGGGCGATCTGTCTTGGAGGGGATGCTTTCCGGGAGGTCTTTTTAAGGGAAATTGGCCTCTATTTAGGCGTTACAGACGTGGAGAAAATCTGGAAAACTCCACGTGGCCAGCCTGTCCGAGCGAACTCCCAGTGTTCAGGGAACGAAGACCGCTTGGCCACTGGTGGGCCTAAGATTCGATATTTATCGTTTTTAGATTAATTTATAATTGTGTAGGCACGTAAAAAGAAAGTTTATACGTTTGTTTTCTTATTGAAAACTTTTGTTGGATGCTTTACTTCGGCAGAAATCTTTTGTCTGATGCACCGTTGAAAGTATTCGCTTGTATGTGTTATAAACCATTATGAATAATGAGACAAACGATGCTGCAGTCCGATAAATATTGATTTATTTACTAGGATGTCGCTCGACTTTGTTGTGTCGCGATAGAATTGAGGTAGAGCCGGAAAGAAAGAAGCGATCCCTGCACTTGCTAGGCACAGAAGAGAAGATTCTTGTACTCCTGGACGGCTGAATTTTTCACTTCCGAAATTAATTTATAAAATTCAAAGGGAGAAGAAGAGAAGAAAGAAATAGAAATGAGGAAAAGAACAAAAAAGTAAAGAAGGGTGATTTTAATACAGTTTTATAACGCTTTTATTGGTTATGTTTTCGACATTGAACGTGAGTGATGGGGGGGATTTCAGCAAACCTCTATATACATGACTACAATGCTTTGATACATACATCTATATGATGTTTATTGGGTTTTGGGATGGAGACAATAGTGGAAACAGGGCCACTCTTAAAACATTAAAGTACATTGTCATCGGACTTACGCGTGCTGTCAAAGTTTCAGCTTTCTATGTTAATTAGAAGTAGATGAAATTTGAATTGTAAGATTTGAGAACACAATACAAAGCGTGTTAAAATAAATAAACGAGTAAGATACATTAATTTATATGTATTTTCAAGAATTTTTATAAATATGTGAATATTAATGCACTGTTTTTTCACTCTATCTGGTCTGTGGGCATTAAAAGGGCTTTTTCCAAGCCTGCGAAGTTGAATTCTCCCACTTCTTAGAAATTTTAATGTTATTAATTACATTAAACTAATATACAAGGTCTGTTCAAAAAGTATCGGACCTTATTTTTTTCTGCGTAAACCAATGATGCGAGAGAGGCCTCCTTCGGTGGAGTT